CATCCTCCCCGTTCTCCTGCCCAAAAGGGTCAGAGGCTACAAGGAGGAGTAAGGGAGCGGTGTCTGAGCGTGGATTGAAGCTGTGCGCGTGGGTGCCAACTTTCCGTCTGATGCAGATACAAATGGGATGGCTTTCTATACCGGTCAACCATGCTGGCATTATTATGTATCTGGCAATCCAGCAGCGGTTGTGGAACAAGGTCGATTCTGCTGATGAGAACAAAGATGTTCGAAACCGGTCCAACGTTTGCTTGCAGAAACGAATTACCGATTGATATTCGTATCGGTCTGGAAAGCCAATATTGTAGAGGCTGATGGACTAATTTTGCCTGCACGTTTGGAGTTTGCGTGTTCTCATCATTGTCGCGTGGATTTTTCTCCGGGTCCTCCCGTTTTTTCTCTCCACATTTAGAAATATGCCTTTCGAGTATTTCGCTGCGATAAATTTCCACACCATAAGCCACTTCGTTCAGCTATCATTTGTGGCCTGGTCGATTTAGAAAAAAATCGTTATACAGCTCAGTGGGCCTTACCGGGTATAATTACAAAAAGATTAGTTTTAGTTTAGTCATCTCCATGTAGAGAGAATGCAGCTCTGCTTACATTTGCTTTTACCGATGTTATGTCATATGCTGATGACCTGGACATTTCTCCTCCCTCTGAAAAGGAGTTGGATACAAGTCCCCACCATCAAATTATCATGCTGCAGGTTCAGCAGCATGATACTTAGATGGTGGGGACTTGGCTTTTGCCCTTCCAAATCGAAGCACCTGCCTGGGTATTTCATGTCATCAATCACTTCACCACCTCAACTCTCAGCAATTGGTGCGGGCAGTTGTGCAGAGAGTGGAGTAGTTCCCATACACGGAAAATCATGCAGGAAAGTGATGCAGAGGTGTCACTCAGAATTAGTTGAGCGGAGATATATTTTCATCAGTTGCGTAACACCTGTGTGGAAACCGCGTATCGACCCACATGAAACTCTGGATCTTCTCAGACACAGTTTTGCCATCTCGTTTCCACGCCTGGACTGACGCCTGGACTGACTTTAAACGTTGAAACTGGCCTGCCTACGATCGAGGATCTGTGAGGAGATGACAGATTTAGACCCAGCCCCATCAGCGAAGCTACTCCGGCAGGTGAGGCTGCGTTGGCTGAGGGTCACGTAGCCCGCATGCCCAGCCACCACATGCCCAAGCAGCTTTTTATTGGCTGGATAGAGGGAGCTGAACGGGCGCGGCACGTGCTAGAGAAGAGATGGACTGACGCAGTACAGGAAGATATGAAAGATTATTGGTCTTGCGGATGATTGATACCACCCACGTCAAGATCGGCCTCTGTGGAGGAGGCTCGTGAACACTGAGGAGTTGGAGGCATTCGCCCTCTAGCACCTCCGATTCGCCCCCGCACCTCCGATTAGCACGGTTGGCAACGTACGGTGCGAAATAAGTTCAACATACATACTGCAACAGTGGGAGACAAGGAAGATGCGCGTACAACAACCACGGTGAGTGACACGGCGTGGGGGAGACCTTCGTCCGTAAATAAATTGACAAAGGGTTTGTAAATTACTCTTTTTTCTCCGGGCGAATGTTCGGCCCTGCGATTGGTCGCCCGCGCCACTGCTGGAGCAACCCCCACCAAATAGAGGGGGCTCCGCAGAGCCTCCTGTGGACGATGGTTTTGAACTTGATTTGAAGCTTTCGTGACTGCAGGAATTAATCTTTGGTTCTTTCGGTAAAGTCACGTAGAAATAAATCAATAATAGGATACGACGTTTCGATTGCAACACGAGCAACCGTCATCAGGTGTGAATGCAAGCTCTCAGAGAGACATATACAGAGAGAGACAAACACAGACACGGAGAGACGCAAACACAGAGAGAGACACAGAGAGAGAGACAAACACGCAGAGAGACACACAGAGAGAGACACACATAGAGGAGAGACACATAGAGAGACACACAAGCAGAGAGAGGCACACAGAGAAACACATAGAAACAACGCCTCTGTGACGAGGTGTACAGTATACATAGAGAGGGGGGGGGGCGGAGAAATTAGCATGTCAATGAGAGCGGCAGGGGGAGATAAAAAAACGATGGTCTTGCTACGTCAGGTGAGAGTACCCACGCTTTACCCCACCACACAGCCGATTGGTTGTGGTCTACCCATTCAGATTGCTGGGTGGAGAGATGCGAGGGCGGGGTGACGGGGGGACTTCATTAAATGTGCACCGTCGCTTTGACTGCCGCGCCGGAAGATCGAATCGAACCGGCGCCCTCTGGATTGCAAGATCAGCGGGTGGGCCCAGGGTGGGCCCAGGGTGGGCCCATCCCACAGTGGCAGCATCCCTTTGCAAGATCAGCGGCAGCATCCCTTTTCTCAGTTGCGTATCGTAGACTGGGGAATGGGTTCCCCCCAAATTTCTGAATGACCCCTAAAAAAAAAATCAAAATGTGAAACTCAATCCTCGATGTTTAATTATTTTTTTTCTGCCGAGCCTGATTTTGTGTTTGTTTCCGAAACCCCAACCGCTTGCGTCGCTTCTTACAATGACCGATGATGTTGATGTCGTGCAGCAGTTGTGATTTTTACATCGAGGTGGTTCTTGAGCCGGGTGATTGCGTCACAGGTAACGGAGCGGTGCAAGCATCGCCGTGACGGTGACGACGCCGCCTTCTCCCTTCGTCTTTGTGAACGTGGCGTCGAGTCGACGTCACGAGTTGCATGGTTGTGTTCCGCGTGACCACGGTCAGCGCAGACTGCCGGAGAGTTCGTTTGTTTAATTCATCATTCTGTGCATGAGGTGGCCGCATCTCGCTGCTGCCACGTTTTGTGTGCGGAAGCGGTTTAGTTTGGGGTCGTGGTGCCAGGAGCTTTCAGGGCGGAAGATCGAAGCCAGGGGATCTTCTGCGTCGGGTCTCTCACGACGTGTTTAGTTGTGACTCCTTGTCAACTCCATTCGACTTGCCAAGCTTCGTGAGCGTTGGCGCTGAATTGTTGAAGTTGCATCGGGGTAGAAGTTGCCTTTGTTGAAGTTGCAGCAGGGTGGAAGTTGCCTTTGTTGAAGTTGCATCAGGGTTGAAGTTGCATTATTAAAGTTAAATCAGGGTTGAAGTTGCATCGTTGATGGTCGATAAGGGGTTGAAGTTGCATTGTTAAATTTGCACCAAGGTTTAACTGGCATTGTTGAAGTTGCAACAAGGTTAAAGTTGCATTGCTGGTGATATCACAAACATGACCTCACGTTCGCACTTTTCCCTTCAAAAGTGGCGTCAAGTTGAATCGAGTGACGTCACTCCTGTTAAAAACGAAGACATTTCACGCGAGTGCACAGAACTACGAAGTAGAAAGCATCAAAACAATCTGGCAAAAAAGAAAGAGACGCAAAATTGTCCATAAAAATTTCGGAAAATCCAATATAGAAACTTGGAAATTCATAAACTCATCTCTAAGGTAAACGACTAGAGTCCAGGGGCCGGCAACCTTCAGCACCAGAGCCGCGTGCGGCTCTTTAAGGACCGCTTCGTGACGCTAAACATTAAGGACCCACCGTCTCGTATTCACCACAGTGTATTACGGCTCTTGCAATATCGATTTGTGTTTTTTTTATACCGAATGCGATTTTTTTATCTTGTTGTTATTAAAGTTGCCGACTCCTGGACTAGCCTTTGACGGGAGTCGAACCGTTGTACCCCGGCTCGGTGGACGAGCGGACCGATCACTCGACCCCCACGTGTGGCGCTGTGATGGATGCGCGCTAAGCTCGGCACATTCTTGTGGCCGGACCCCCATAGACAAGGCTCTGACCAGAGCCGGCTATATTTGTCCGTGTGCATTTGTTGGTGCGCGCGCGTGTGCGTGTGTGTGCGTGTAACACGTGCGCGTGTGTGTGCGTGTAACATGTGCGCGTGTGGTTTGGTGTGCGGTGGTTCGCTTTAATTAGCTCACTGCCGTTGGCAACACCAACATTGAAAGCGGACAAAGCGTTGAAAGACCTCCTCCTGGTGACGTTTGTGTGTGCGTGTGCGTGCAATGGAGAAGGGCCGCTGCGCGAAACGTCGCCTTAACGTGCGTTCAATTGTTGTTGTTGCTAGCTGTATCTGTGCACCACTGCCAACGCAGCAGCAGTAGCAGCAGAAGCATCACCAAAGACGATGTTTAATCCTGGTGCGGTGCGGGGTTAGGCATTGGGGTGAAGCAGCTGCTTAGCTGGTTTGTTAGAGTTAGGCGTTAAGCTAGTTAGCCTCCTAATGACTGGTTATATTAAATAATAAGAATAATTCTTATTAGTACTACTTACATAAATAATAATCAATAATAATTCATTATTATTACTGATGCGTGTGTGTTTTTTTTAAATATACCACTTTATACACCTGGGTGGCTTGGGGCACTTTACATCGTAATTGCTGGACACACCCGACTGTTTGCGACCCCAGCGTCCCCAGTTCCGGGCCTCCCTTTGACGACCCATGCTTAATTGTGTACCTGGTGCGGTGTGGATAGAACGTGAGCCCTCGCAGCCGGGCGAGGGGCTGGCCACAACACCACCTTTGTGTGTGCCATGCTAACCTGGGCAGGTGCTCGCTGATGATTCTTGCCACAACAGTCCGTTAAGACTATACTGTACGGGGGATCTTTGTCTTTAGGGTGTCTTTTGAGAAGATGTGGCAATGAGATCTGTGGACAATTCTATTAATGACTATGTGGCTTGCATTCGAGGGGTGGTTGCACTGAATAGCTCCGTATGGAATTCAAAAAGTAAATTTCTGTCCGGCCTTCTCCTGACCGAGTCACGGCCTCGTGGAGATCGAAAGGTCTTGAATCTCACCGTGGTCCACCAACCCTCCCCTCCTCCAAAGTGCTGGCTGCATCACACGCGTGCGCCACCACACTCGGACAATGATGATGACGATATTTTAACGGAGGTGTAGATGTCAAACCTAGAATGTATTCCTACAGGAATTTTCGCCTACAGTATCACGAACCACACACGAATCATCGTCACAAAACGTTTATTGCTGTTAATTAAGAAACGAGGTTACATTCAGGCGACGGGCCTTGGCAATTCTACGTGTGAACGCAACAATGCTGGTGGCAGCAGAGAGTACATGTCCACCCCCACCATGTGCACAGTCAGTCCTCGTTTAACGCGGTAGATGCGTTCCTGAAAAGTGTGACGTTGAGCAAAAAATGCGTTGAGCGAAAATAACTTCCCCCATAAATAATGTAAAGATACATTTTGGCGAGATACGATGTACTATTATTACGCACGCACAGTGAGATGGCCGGACAAACGACTGAGGGTATGCCGCCGCGTTACTGTATCACTCCGCGTACTGTATCACTGTACCGCTCAGCCACGCAGCTCAAGAAAGTAGTTCGTTGTTGATCGCTTGTAAACCGCGTTATAACGGGCACGTTCCGCGTTATAATGGTGCGCGTTCTGCGTTATAACGGGCGCGTTCCGTGTTGTGCGAAAAGTGTTCCCCAATGGAAGAACCACGTCACGGCGAAGATGTGCTGCGTGAACACCGCACGTTAAGTGAGGACTTACCGTAAATGTTCCACCAGGGACGAATATTCGCTCCTCCTAGGAACCCATATTGGAAATTTAGACAGTCTATTTTTTTTTACTCAACATTTAAGCCAGTCTATATCAATGCATTTCAACTCAAGCCTTCATCTTTTGACCTCTTCATATGATCCGTTTGGTCCTGTTTTGTTTTAACCAAATGTAGGGTCATAACCCTCTCCCAGTGGTGTAAGTGTGACATATGTCCCGGTGCAATAAATGAAGTGTGGCCACCTTGTCTAATATCCCTATCCCTCTTCATATCCACCTGGCCCGGCACGTGGACCCCTCCGTCCCGTGGGCCCTGTTGCAGTTGATACCTAACCCTTAACCTCGAGCTCCCAACTTGGGGGGTACATATAAAATAAGTGGCATCCAATGTTCAATGGGGACAAACGAATATTCATTCTGCTGATGGAACAGGATCAAGGGGTCATCGTGGTCAATGTTGTCGGTGCCACCACGCCCTCTTTCATCGCTTCCTTCCTTCTGCCAGATCCCGTTGCATTTTGTAAATATGACACCAGATCCACCCCCCCCCCCCCCCGCCTCCTCAAAAAGGTTACCTCTCACAGACTCCCACCGTCTTGCCTTACATTATAAATACAGACGCGATTACTCGTAAACTTGTGTCATATGGACATGGGTGGCCCAGTGGTTTCGTGCGAATATTTGTTTCTGGGGTGGGTGGGGGGCGTTGAAGCCGCGACGAGACTTAAGCTGAGACAGGCGTCGTCGTACTTGATGATGATGAGTACAAGGCCAATTTTCAGCTATGCCCTCCGCCACCCGACAGAGCAAATCAAATTGAGTTGTCACGCCGGGGGGGGGGGGGGAAATAATTTCACGTGATTTTTTTTCAGAAACCCGGAGAAATGGTAGAAAAAGCAAGCAACATTTTGACGTTATTTTTTTATATATACGACGCTAACAGTGGGAATTATAATCGTGCCATTACACCGGTCGCCAAACACGTTTAATCACATTGGGCGCAGCGTGGCCACTCAGTGAAAACGTCGGCTTCACCATGATGCAGTTGAAATGACATTTGTGAACTGTAATTCGTCATTTCGTTTTAAATGAGATTGAATATTTTTTTTTATCCTCCCATGTTTTTTATTCCGCGTGTCCTAGAGGCCGTTGTCTGTGTGAGACGAAAATATGTCCGTTCGGAATCGTCAGAGAGAGAGCAGTACATTACCCCGTGTGTTATAGAACTGCCTCGTGGAAAGAGGCATCGCAGAACTACGTCTGAGATCGTTTTGCGTGACTTTTTTTCCCTTCTGGCGCTGCCGCTTTCTGCACACATGCCTTTCTGCAGAGAAGAAGAAGTGTTCAATCACGCGGCAGTAAAACAATATTTTCTAAATTATCAGACGTGGAAGTTTTGCCAAATTAAGTGGAAAAAAAAATCTACCGTTGATTTTTTTTTTTGGGACAGAACACCGCGTAATTAAAATGTGTCGTACACTCTCCTCCACCCGACCGCAGCAAGTTTAACAAAGTTGTCACGTGTTGAACAAACGTGCCAGTCTAGTTACTGCTTCAGCAGCACCACCACCACCACCACCGGTGTGTGTGTGTTGGGAGAGCAATCCAACTTGGCCGTGTCGGGTGGAGGAGGGTGTATGACACACATTTTTACCTACGCCGCGATCTGACACAAAGATCAGTCATACAATTACAATATCGGTCGCGAAAGCCTGGGCATGTTAAATTGAAGCGACGGAAACTACTTAAACGCCACGAGTTGTTTCGGTTATCGGCGTGAGGCCATCAACTCAACTTGAGATCCACGTACAACGTACCCGTACCTTTCACAACGACTCTCTACGTTCACCCGTACACACACAGCCTGCACTCTTACCTGTAGACAACTGACCTACGACCCTACCACGTGGTGGAGTTCGCCAGTTCCCCCGTGCATCCTTCCATAGTCCGGAAGTGTCATCTTTCTTCTGTCTCATTTGTACACTTTCCATTCCCTCCAATAGCCCACACATGATAACGTGAGCTTGCCCTTCGCGCATAGCTTGTATGAACCAGCAACGCTCATCTCTCACACACACACACACACAATACTCGATGGATATGTACAGGGTGGCCCAAAAGTCAGGACACATTGGGTTATTGCATTTATTCATAAAACTGGCATAACATTTTTTTATAGTTTATTTTTTAACTTCACCTTTTATATATGATAATTATTAATATATATTTCTCATCATCGTTTTCAGATGGCACTTTTAAAAGTGGAAAGAAAATTGACGAGATACGAACGAGTTTCAATTATTCTTTTTTTTACGTATGCTAAAGAAGGCAGCTTTACTCTTTAAAAAGTCCTAAATTAATTTAAAAAGAAAATGTCATGTTTGCATTAATGTGAATGGCAGTCAGTTTGTACATTTGTTAACGTAAATTAAATAACCCCACGTGGTTTATTAAAATGAATATAATAACCCTATGTGTCCTAACTTTTTGAGCCACTCTGTGCGTACATCATGATACTTAAAAATTGATCTGAATCGCTACAACGATGCATCTGTTATTCCAACCCCTAGTGTTTAAGTACAAGTAGTAGCAGTCGCGTGTCTTTATTTATTGTTTCAAGGGACAACTGCATGACACGCTTCTGGTTGCCATCCCCTTGTTCTGTCGTCATTATTCATGAATTCACTACCCACAAGGGAGGTATAGAGATAGCTGCCGTCCTGGGAAATCTGTTAAGTCGTCTTCAATAAAGCCCTGCCTGATGTGTCCGCTGCGTAAATAGTACATCTCGATTGAAAACGCATTTATTTAGAAGTGAATGTTTGTGCTTAGTGTTGCTGTCTTTCCCCCGTAGCTCCGATGAGCACGGTTGGCTACGTACTATGCGAAATAAGTTCAACGTGCATACAAACTCGAGACGACCATGCGTTTACATGCACAGTACAGCACTGAAATTCTCCACATTTTCTGCCACTGCGAGATATCCTCCGTCTCCCTCCCATGATACGTCACGTGTGTTATATACACCGGTGTTCTACACTCATTTTCACAGATGGTGTGGAGTGGAGGGGGGGAGGGGGAGACTTTGGCCGATAAGACATCATCAGCGTGAGGGCCGCCACGCATTTGAAGCCTTTGGGGTTTGTCAGCGCGATGGGGGTGCGACGGGGGCCGCACTGAAGGCCATCAGAGGCCGTCAGGGGCCCGCGGGGCTTGCAATGAAGAACACCGCAGTGTAGCGTCTCCTTGGTTCAAGGTGGGGGTGCGAGGGGTTGGGGGCGGAGGCGATATTAAACTTAGAGGGCGGGGGGGGGTTACGACACGGTCAATGTTAAACCAACTTTAAACACTAAACAGCCTGTCATGCATTCTGCAAAATAATCACTGGAGTCGTTGTGGAAGGGAATTGTCCGTGTGTAAGTTGAATAACTTTTTTTCGCACCGTACGTAGCCAACCGTGCTAATCGGAGGTGCCGGGTGGATTGGACTTGATTCGAGCAAAGCCTCATTCTGCCGTTGAGACACTGTGGGTCTAAAGCGGTGCATGAGGTTTTGCTTGAATTGAATCAATACTGCTGAAGTGATGCTCTCCCTAGAAAGCCGTGGGAAAGTTGGGTTGTGTAAAAAAACAAAAATGTTGTGAAGAGAGGCAGATACATGGAGAGACGCATGTTGTCTGCTTACCTACGATTTGTCACTCACGATGCGTTCTGCTCTACCTCTCGCCACCTGTGCCTGCGAGGGAAGAGGCCCATCGCGTGACTGCTACGAACTAGCAGCAGTTGTAGCCCGTGGCCACACCGCGGGAAGGGGAGCAGAGTCAGGGATGCAATGCGTGGGGAAAAGGAGAAAGGAACGGAAGAGAGAAGAAGGAATCGGACGCTAGAGAAAGAGGATGGGAAAGGAATGGAGAAAGAGGAGCAGAGAGTGAGGAGAGGGAGGAGGGAGAGGCTGCATCAGGGCCTCGACGCTGCTGATGCATGGAGGAGGAGCGGCGTCTGTTTTCACAGCGGGCGGCGGGGAGAGGGGAGGGGTTCAGAGTGGGGGTGGCCACGCGGAAGCCACGTGATGTAAGGGATGCTTGAGCTGATTTGGATATAGAGGTAGAGATATATAGATGGGGAGGGGAGGAATTCAGGGTTGGGGTGGCAACGCATAAGTCACGTGATTTACGGGATGCTTCAACGGATTTCGATAGAAATGTGACCAACATTTTCTTGACATGACTCTATAAGAACTTGGGAAATAATAATCATAACAATAATAATAATAATAACCTCTATTGTATAAGAGGGGGGGGGGGGTGGAGCGAGGTGGGGGGTTCTGACTGTTCAGCAACACTATTCCACTACAAGCCAGGACACAACGTAGAGATGTTGTCGTTGGTTGTTGCTCGCTGTGGTGTGGTTGCTGCCGTCGTCGTCGTCATGGTGATGGTGGTGGTGGTGGTGTCATTCACGAGCCACGTGCACGTAGACGGAGCTGCAGCATCGGCCCGCGCTGTCGCACAGCGGCATCACCAGCGTGTTCACCACCGACGCCCAGAGGGTTCTCACGTTGGGCATGCAGATGAGACAGGTACGCACGCACGGCATCACGCACCTGCGGGGGACACGGCCAGGCAACGCACGGGTCACACAGCCACGTGGGGCCAAGACGGCCTAGAGCAGTGTGCGTCACTTATTTTCAGGGTGGGGGGGGGGAGCAGGGGGTGGGGGGAGCACTTTCGCCGATATGATGTCATCAATGTGTGAGAGCTGCCACGCATTTGAAACCATTGGGGTTTTTTTTTGACAGCACAATGATGATGATGGGGGGGGGGTGGTGTTTTCACTCATTGTGTAATGTCGGGGGGGGGGGGCACACGTTAGTGGCCGCACTAAAGGCCACCAGGGACCTCCAGTGGCCCGCGGGCCTTTCAAATGCAGAACACTGGGTTGTAGTGAATAATAATAATAGAACAAGTCCAGCTTGCACAGTGTATCACTCGCTCTCTCGACGTGAGTGAGAGAGGGAGAGAGGGGGAACGACGCGTCGGGTGCCCGAGGAGGAACCACAGTCGAGCGGGATAGGCAGCAGCCAAGCAGCCGGCGTCACCAACAATTCACCCCAAGCTCTGCGGTCCTCGATATATTACGATGTTTGCAGCCGATTAGCGAGTGTGTATATGTGTCGGAGGACACCGGGACACCAGGAGAAAAAAACCCCACACGTGCGAATAGGGGCCGAAACACAACCCCATACGCACGGAGCAGATGGAGATTAGTCCACGTTTGCTCGACCGAACTTTCCTGGCAAGCCAGGGGCTGCGGCACTTCCTCGAGGGCCACGGGAAGGGGAGTTTCACGCCACGAGTGTGGTGGTGGTGGTCCACCAACCCTCGCTGCTGCCTCCACAGTGCTGGATTGCAGGCCACGTGCGTAGCGACGTGGCAACTCAGGTGAATTGCCCGAGGGAAAACGCAAGCTACGCGTTGATACAATGCAGAGCCGTGCCTCGTGTGTGTGTCTGTGTGTGTGTTTGTCTGTCTTTGTCATGGGCCTTTCCTAGGTCGACTCAGCCTCAAATGAGTACCTGGTTGCAGTGTGTAAACATCGCCACTGGTGAGACAAAGGCGGTCGGGCGTGGCGTTGCCCACCCACCTCCTCGTGTACCGTTCCGGCCTTCATAGGTGCTCGCTAACAGCACTTGCCCATACAGTCTGTGAAGGCTATACGGAGGATCTTTGTCTTTTTGTCTGTCTCTGTTCTCGTGTGTGTGTGTCTGTGTGTGTGTGTGTACGCGTGTGTCCCGGGTGTCGAGGCATTAGTGATCACTCACTGCGCCCCTTCCAACCAACAAGCCAGCATCAGGACTCAAGGTAAGTGAAAATAACACTGAAATTGTTCTATGTATATTACTTTATTTTGTTTTATTTACAATACAGTATTTTCCCAAAGTGTTACATGCAAATTACAATATTTATTCTGATTTGTGAGTTCAACGATGCTTTTTGTTAAGCTATAACATTTCATAGCACTGATCGTACTGACATGTAAGCATAGTACATTGCTGTGTTCCGACTAACGAACCGCTCGACTTACGAACGGGCCCCAGAAATTAATTGTGTTCGTAAGTCAAGGACTGCAAGTATATATGATATCGCGGGTTCGGGGGGGGGGGGGGGGTGGTGGTAAGAGTTGGCTGAGTTATAACAGAAAACGTCTTCTGAAACAAAAATAATTTTCGGCGGACTTGAAAGGTGCGAACCGAACCGGTCTCCCCGAGCAGCAGAAAGTTCCGTCAGTGCTGGCCACGACAGGGAATGTCCAGCGATCGCTCGCGAGCTTCGCCTTAGTTGTGGGTGCGAGTCACAGGGACTCGAATCCGTTACACGCCCTCCGTTCCACACCCCTCTGGGCTCGCCATCGAACAAAGACGGTCGCCGCATCGCGCGCTTTCGAATGTGCTTACGCGGCCGTCTGGAACGCTCTCTTCCTTCCGATATTGGGAAGCCACTAGGAGCTATACACGTTTAAATGCAGATTGGAAAACGCATTTCTTTAGAGCTGCCTTTAGTGTTTGGTTTGTTGTCCTTCACCCGCACCTCCGATTATCACGGTTGGCTACGTACGGTGCTAAAGCATTTCCACATACGCAAACAAAGCCAAATGATCCTCATTATAGTCTTAACAGACTGTTGGGGCAAGTGCTGATTGCTGAGCACCAATGAAGGAGGGCACGTCAACGAGGGGGTGGGTGGCCTGCACCACGCCCGACCGCCTTTGTCTCCCTAGTGGCAATATTGACACACCGCACCAGGTATTCATTTGAGGCTGAGTCCATCCTAGGGGAAGCCCTAGGTCCGGTTCAAATAATCATCACCGGTATCGGCCGTGAGCGGGAATCGAATTCGCGTCGCCGGGTTCGTAGCGCAGCGCGCTCACCGCTGCACCACCGCCGCCTCAACACACAACACACTGACACACACTCACACACAACACACACTCACACACAACACACTAACACGCACTCACACAACACACGTACTCACACATACAACTCACACATACAACTCACACATACAACTCACACACGCACTCACACAACAACAACCGCCATTCGCCACTAAGTGGCGGTGACGTCACCACGACGCTTGTGCCAGGCCATGTGCACCTTGAGGCCACGTGAAGTGTCGAACGCCCGCTGGCAGGAGGTCACGGGGCAGACCCAAGTGCCACGGGTCGATTGACTGAGATGACTGGCTGATGCACCACCTGTGCCCCCTATTGTGCCAACTTGCTGTGCTTTAGCCACCCGGCGCTCCGCGTCCTCGCTCACCAGATGTGCACGCAGCTGAGCACGGCGAACACGAGGGCCGAGATGACGGCGAGGGGCACGGCGAAGAGGAGCGAGACGACTCGGTACGACCAGATGCGCGCCACCTCGTAGAGGGCGTCGCTCCACACCCACACCTTGTCGAAGCTGTGCAGGTCCCTGGGCTCGGCGATGACGTCCTCGAAGCTGATCTAACAACGCCGGATCGTGCGATGCCAACAACAACAACAAACAACAACCACTCAACAGCTCCGATTGGCACGGTTTGCTACGTAGGGTGCGAAAGAAGTTCAACGAACACGTACACGTGTACACACGCCAACGACGCTGCGTGTGAGCTGCAAACGAAATACAGGCGGTCCCCACTTTTACGACGCAATGTGTACCTGGATGGCCCGTCGTAAAAATCGAATCGCTGTATATCAGAGGCCGCATGTATATACAGTATATGTATACACACAGTATATATATACGTACACACGAGGGTCGCCCAGAAAGTTAATGTCCCACACTTTACTTTTCTCGGCCAAAAGGTAGGGAAAAAAAGTGAAACGAGCCCATGGAATCAGACAGATGTATTGGTCATATGTGCCCTTTCACCCCAAATGTCTTTATCCCATCGAGAAACCACAAAATGTATTCCTTGACAGTGGGCCATTACTTTGGCGACCCTCGTATATATATACACACACCGTATATCCATCAGGCGACGTTATGGGCAGCAATGGCCATTTTTTACAGCACGTGCAGAAGAAGGGCCATTGCCCGAAACGTCGACCATTAATTGCACCCAATCAATGCCGCGCCTTTCCAAGCAACAACCCTGATGGTGAAGCTTGGAGAGCCGCGTGGAGTTGAGAAGAAGCCACGAACGAACTCCTCGTGAAACGACTGGACGCAGGAGATCTCCCGGCCGAGATTTTTCGTGAATGCTCATGGACCACAACCCCTGAACCACATCACCCGTACACAAACCATGGCCTCAGAAGATGCAGATCTTGATGATGATTATGATGATCCACAAATGGAAAGTTAAACATATTTTGGCAGTGTGTGAAATGCAGGAGGCCCCCGGTTCTTGAGAACTGATTTGTTGTGTTCAGTTTGTTGTTCTCCCCTTGCACCTCCGATTAGCACGGCTGGCTACGTAGGGTGCGATAGAAGTTCAACACACATACACACACATACAATATACAACCCAGAACAGCACCATGGAGGAAGCATCGTCACAGCGATGATTGCACCACTCCTGCTCCTCTTGACTCAATAATCCGGCTCATCCACCTCAGTGATCGGTGGGGACCACGCTTGGCATTACACTCGGAGACAGGGAGGGCCGCGTAGCATCGACAACGGAGGCATGTTAAGAGATGTGTTTTTTATGTTCAAGATATATCAAATGTTTACTTGGACAGGAACACGTCGCGAGAAGGGATTATGGCACAGTGGTGGAGGGAGTGGCAATCAAGGTAAGGAACAACCTCCCCCCTCCCCTTTGCCAGAAGGATGTCCACAGCGGAGATAGAGTAGTAGATTAAATCATTCCTTGACCTCCACTCTGCCGAATTATCTTCGAGCGCGTCGTTTGTCAGACCGTGCAAGCGATGACGACGGCTTGGGGAAGCTTTCATCCAGCGAGGAGAAAGTCCACGGCTGGCGATGCTGATGCTGCTGCTGCTGCCGCTGTTGTTGTTGATGCGGATGATGCATTGATGCTATGGAAGCTCCTTAATTGGGGGCAGCGGCAGCCCGTGATCACGCGTCATAGGAAAGATAAGAGACAAAGAGGAAAGCGCATCTGGCCGATCAGCGGCGGGAGACTGTAAACTCTAAAAATACACGCGCTTGTGTGCGAGATTTATTCATCCCGGGTGTCAGGTTCTAGCCCTGCGCTGCCTGTCCCTGAGCCGTCACTCGTTCTGTGGGCAACGCTCCAACCCTCTCCCGGCCTCCTATATCCAACCCTCCATCTCCTGCCGTCCCTCCAATCCCTTCCGAGGAGAACGGCGGCTGTCTGAATTACTTTTGCAGGACAGAGTTCGGTGAACGTCACTGCACTTCGCGTGATGCATCGGGATTGAGTTGCTTCGATGGTCGCTTGCGTTAAATATCTCGAAGTGAGATTTTCCAGGAAAGCCTCGCTAAGTCTCAATAGTCTGTACTCAGGAGCGTCCTGTAACGCAATGTTTGGCCAATTCCATTAAACCCATTTCCGAAACTGAATTCTCATCAGGCCCCATGGTGAAAAAAAATGCAGTTTCCAACTGTTATCATCCACTCTCTCTCTCTCTCTCCTCGCCATCTCTATATATGTGGTATGAAGAAGTTCCATTTCCCGAAACGTTGCGTATAAGTATACGAAGATTGACTATAATCAATCTTCTTTGAGGCCACAGTGTTATTAACGAATGTGTTGTTGTTATTTTTGTTAATTGTGCTTGTGCACCACTGCTAGCGCAGCAGCGACGCCGCGAATCGGCCTCAACAATTAGCCAAGCTCTGTTGGTCCTGTATATATTAAGGTGTCAATTAATGAGTGCTTGCTCGTGGGAGGAAACTGGAGCACTCAGAAAAAAAAACACATGCGCGTGCGAAGGGGCAACACCCTATCCCATACATGGCTTAACGGGTGGAGTCCACATTGGCTGTACTGACGCACCCTGGCGAGCCAGGGTACGGCACCTCATTGAAACCACTGGAGCAATGCACTTTTAAATCTAGAAATCTAGATTGAAAAAAATATTTTTTCTTTAGAATTGCTTTTTTCGTTTAGTTTGTTACCCCCCCGCCCCCGGCACCTCCGATGAGCGTGGTTGGCTACATACGGTGCGAAAGAAGTTCAACGCAGTACACATGTACAAATGAGTTTTGCAACATTTTGCGTGCGGCCCACAGAGATGCACGTGCACGTGGAAACTGGTCTCATGGCTCCATTTCCCTGGGTGGTCGTTCCCTTCCCTCGAGTGTGCTCTCTCCTTTGGCTGGCTCTCCATCGTCGGTCTCTACGGCCTGCCAATTTTTTTCGTGAAATGTTTTTTTTTAGTGGTCACTGCAAACACGTGAAAACATCTGATGTCTGTAGAGTGGTTTCAATCAAAGTACCCTCTCTAGGTTGTCGACATTTTTCTCGACCTATTGATTGGTTGGCTCAGATAAAACGACCACAATGCAGTTCTTCTGCACTAGTGGTGTTGCGGAATAAGTAATGCTGACTGACAGTTTTTTTTTAGATACAATGCACATTCTTGAGTGTCGTTAAACATAATCATTTTCCGGCCTGCTCTTATTTCTCTTGTCAATTACAGGTCACCGCCATATAATAATAATGATATTAATATCAATACCCTCGCTGTATTATACCCCGGAAAGCCTCACTGGGTCTCCGGACTCTTTGTTTAGGAGGGTCCTACCAAGTATTCGCAGTAGGGGGGCGATGTTGCTCTGTTTAATCCCAATTGAGTAGTTTGCAGGTAAGTTTTCAGCATTGTGGATGTATGTGTTGGGGTTATTTTTTTTAGCGATGGGAGGAAGCTGGCAAAGCCAAAGGAAACCCATGCAGAACAGGGGGAAAACATTATCAACTCCACACGTAGTCGCCCGTGTCGCTTGGAATCGAACCTGGGCCCTTCTTGCTGTGGGGCACGAGTCTTTACCGCTGGCTGACCAATTTCATTCATGAGTGTTTTTGGCATATTCTTGGTTCTTTCCGTAAAGTTACGTAGAAGGGAAACAATAAAATAATAAAAATATAAAACAACAAAATTCTTACGACGTTTCGACTGCAACACAAGCAATCATTATCGGGTGTGAAAACCACAGCAAGAAAATGTATTATTTTATTGTTTCCCTTCTACGTGGTGACTTTACCGAAAGAACCAAGAATATGAATCCCTGCAGTCACGAAAGCTTTAAATCAAAATTTGTTTTTGGCACGTTAAAAAAACAACTGGAGAACCCAGAGAAAAACCCCACGCATTGGAGGTGACGACACCCAAAGCTCTGCGTGACGAATTCAAGTATGTGCGTGTGTTATGTCTCTATGTATCGATATGCGTGTGAATTCATGTGTGTGTGTGGAGCGGTAGTTTAGCGGACAGCGCACCGTGCTGCCAACCTGACGACCCAAGTTCGCTTTACCGCTCACTGGCATCACCAGTGGCGATTATCTTAATCAGTCCTGGGCCTCCCTTTGGAGTACCTGGTGCAGTTTTAAAAAAAAAACACGTCAACACTGTTGGCCACCCACACCCCTCGTGTGTGCCGTGCCGGCCTACTAACAGCATTTGCCCTAACATTTTTGTTGTTGAAAAGACTATACGTACACGTGTACACGTGACACTTTTCACAGGCCACTTGTGTATATATGTATCTCTATGTATGTATGTATGCATTGGTATGTGTACATTTGCATTATTTTATATGTGCGCACGCATGCGTCTTCATGGCACCCCTGAGGTCGACAGCCTCTGATGAGTACCTGGTCCGGCGTGTAAACATCGCCGCTCGTCATGCACGGTGCTGGCCACCTCCGAGTGTACCGTGCGGGCCTTCACATGTGCTCGCTAACAGCACTTGCCCCAACAGTCTGTTAAAGACGATTACGGGAGATCTTTATCTTCGTGTGTGTGTGTGCGTATATGGCGTAGGGGAGCGGTAGTGTAGCGGTTAGCGCACCTTCAGGTGTTCGTTGACGTTCTTGGGGTCCCTCGTCTTGACGGGTTCCTCGAGACACCCGTCGCCGCTGTACTGGAGGTCTTCGCTCGACTCAACCCCAATCTCAGTCTCCTTGGGTCCCGCCTCGTCCATCATCGCGGCGAGCGCAAACGGCATGTGACTCTCGCGCCCAACGCTCACTCGCAAGGCGTGCAAGCGAGCGCTTCTCGGGTGTTTGCAAAAAAACAACAACAACAACAAAGCCACAGACAACGCAGGATAGGACGCGAACGTGCGCTTGCCAACGCCGTGTCTGCGCACACGAGCGACTGTGTGAGAGATTATCGAGAGATGATGGCCCGTGACTGCTGCGGTTGCTCCCCGTGTTATTCGCCAAGAGAGAATGACACGGGCTGTGTCTGTGTGTGTATCTGGGCTATAGGATCACAGCTCCTGACCGCCTCGGTCTCCCCCCCTCCCATCTCCTTTCCCTCTCCCTTCTTCCCTCCTACTTACCACTCCCCCCCATGCCCCCCCCCATCGCCCACCCCTAGTGCCCCCCCCCCAAACGGGCACCCTGCCTTCTGCGATGCTGCTGGTATTTTTGGGAGCCAGCATCAGCCGCATGCCGGCTTCTCTCGGAGCCGAGATGAATTCCCACCGAGGGAGGCTAAATTTACATCCCTCCCGCGTGCATGCGCGCGTGGGCCTGGGTATTAAAGTGTGCGCGTGTGTGGGTATCTGGGGAGCCTCAATGAGCACCCAGTGCGGTGTGTAAAAACATCGCCACTGGGGAGACAAATGCGGAAAGTTTTTCGAACGACGTGGTCAAAGCGGATATTAAATGAATGCAGGTGCCGCAGGACATCCCTGTCGCACTCCCAAAGTGATGGCTGTGACTCCCGGCCACGCAGCTTTACGCGGGCGCGTGCCCACCGCCAACCTTGATATCGCAATAATCGTCACATTGTGAAAACTGACATCGTATCGTGGCAAATGACACCGGGGCAAACCCAAGCCGTGATCAGCGTAATGTTATTTACACCATCCTCCTCCCCCACTTCCACCAATCAACCAATGGGTTCGTGTGCAGAGACGCGTGGGTGCATTGACAGATGCAGGGGACACGGTGAGACCCTTCATCCAGCAGTGGTCTAACCACGGCTGTCACTACTGCTGACAATCCATGATGATGATGACTTGTCAAATGGGTGTCCCTGCCCATGTATGCAGTTGTCTCGCACATCACACACGATGCTGAGTGGCCCGACTTGCTGTATGGAGCCACCCACCCACACAGTCCTTCTCGTGTCCCGCTGCTGACAAACGCATTCCACAAAGCGGGGGGGGGGGGGGGGGGAGGTGACGGGGGGCGGGGGTAAGGCTTAGCCACACAATGCAGAGGAGATGCTGCCTTCACCCAGCAGCGGACTGGGCGTTTTGTTGGTGTTGGCATGATGACCTCTCGTGAAATGAATGATATGGTGGAACCCTCCTGTCACAATCGATGTCTCCTACCCCCCCCCCCCGCCACCCCCACCACACGCTTCGGAGCACTGAGCCTGGCCCCTCCGAGTTCACTGAGTCCGGGTGCAGTTGCACCGCCTACACACTTCAATAGCTATGTCATGGGGGTGGGGGGCAAGTCTAATAGAGACGCCACTGGAGGATGACAATAAACTTGACACATTCGTCAAGAACACTCAGGGCTTAAGATGAAAACAAACTAAAAACAATAACAGTTGTGAACATAAATAATAGGCGACGTTTCGGGAAAGAGCCCTCCTTCATATCACACTTCACGTGCTGTGAGAAATACTTTTATGTTACACGTGGAGAGGCGGACATGGGGCGGAGATGTTGTCTGCGTGTTGAATTAACAATCTACGCGCTCCACAATGACGCGAATGATTGCTTTGGGTTCCAATAAACTCAGTATTTTGCCACTACAGGGCGCTGTAGCTGTATTGTGTAGGGCACGAGGTGGCTTCACCTAAACCCTGCAGGGTTTCCCAAACTCCAGTCCGCGTTTCAAGGCCAACTAAAGATCCTTGGGCCCTATCTCGGGGTGAAGCCGAGACAGCTGCTAAAGGCCGTCCGGCATGGCGTGGGCTTGTTGCGGCCTTATCCTCCACAGGGAGCGAAGAGGTGGAAGAGAAGTCCGCGTTTACAAACTCGCTCCCTGTTGGAATGCAAGTTGAACTCGTGCCACGCTACACGCGCTCGATGATCGTTAAACACCTCCCACGTGGCGCGCTAAGCAATTCACTGCTTGCGAACAAATATTCACCCCCCCACCCCCTCTACCCGTTGTAGCCGATATGGGCTGTTGGAGCAGTTATTCTATAACATATTTTCTTGTTTACTACAGATGGTATCGGAGTTAAATTTGCAAATGATACACACACTCACAGACACATATCTCCCGTATAGCCTTCAAAACACGATGGGGCAAGTGCTGTCCACGAGCAGCACCTGTGAAGGGTCGGCACGGGTGAGTGGCCAGCACCACACCCGGTCGCCTTTGTCTCCCCAGTGGTGATGTTTACACGCCGCACCAGGTCCCTCGTTTAAGGCTGAGTCAAGCTAGTGGAGACCCAGGACCGGTTCAGATAATCTTCACTGGTGTTGGCCGTGGCCGGGAATCGAATTCGGGTCGCCGACTTCGTAGCGCAGCGCGCTAACCGCTACGAATCATACATACACTCGTACACATACGCACAGATACTCGCAAACGTTTCTTTATCCACAGGGTATTTTTGAGTGGCGTAACTTGCTTTGGAGGAGCAGAGTTTGAACTCAGGGTTCGGTCTCTGTTGTTATGGACTACCCTGAGTTTGACATTTTTGCACAGGATGGTCCGGATGTCTTGTGACCCGCATTTAATTACCGAAAACTTAAATTTTTATCTAAAGCTTTCGTGACTGCAGTAATTCATATTCTTAGTTTTTTCGGTAAAGTCACGTTGAAGAGAAACAACAAAATAACAAAATATATATAAAACAATAAAAAATTCTCACGACGTTTCGACCATAACTATTTAAATAAATGCGCCGTTTAAAAATAAATTTATGCAAACCAACACACCTGATGATGACCGTTTGAGTTATGGTCGAAACGTCGTGAGAATTTTTTATTGTTTTATATATATTTTGTTATTTTGTTGTTTCTCTTCAACGTGACTTTACCGAAAAAACTAAGAATACCGAAAACTTATTTTTTTTAAATCAAGGAAAGGGTTTATTTAAAACAGAAGTTAATATGTAAAGGAAAACAATGTTAGGGGTCAAATCATTGGGGGGGGGGGGGGGGGGGTCACGTGCTATCTGGACCACCCTGTATAAAGCGACTACAGTGCAGTGCTAGGTCACAGTGCCACCTTCCGTCTGAGAGAAAATAAAAAATATCCAGGCACAAGAAGTACGGATGGCCGCGTAAGCCAGTGGAGTAATGTCAGAACCAACCGCAACCAGCACAGACTCCGAGTTTAAATCCGTAGACCCGGTTAATAATTTGTTGCACATCGTGTGTCTGCTGTCCTATGCTGGCGTATGGCAGCAATCTGGTTCAGGAGCTAAATGCCACTGTCGACGTTTGTTGCTGCCCACGATGAGAGGGCCTTCGGGAAATGAGAATTTGCGTGGTTTTGCAATCCCTCCTCCGTTGAAGGAGTGCAGGCTCCAGTGACTTAACTATATGGATCCATAGTTGTGGTTGCATGGTCACAATTTGCACTGTGGCCTGTCTTCTACGGGTCTCTGTGTATCGGTATGAGTATATGTATATGTGTGTTCCTATGGGTTTTCTATATGGGTCCATAGTTTGGATTGCGTAGCCGCAATCGCCATTTACTGTGGTATGTCTTTAACGAGTATCTGCGGGTCTCTATGCGTCTCTATGAATCTCTACGTGTCTAATATGATGTGTCTCTATGAGCTTACTATGTGGGTCGACAGTTTGGGTTGCATGGCCACAATCGCACTCCTGTGGTTTTTCTTGAACGAATCTCTGTGGATCTCTGTGCGCCTCTATGCATCTCTACGAGTCTCTACGTGTCTAATATGTGTCTCTATGAGTTGGCTGTATGGTTCCAAGTTTGGGTTGCATGGCCACAATCGCACTCCTTGTGACTCGTCTATGAATTTCCATTATACGAAGGAGATCTGCTGCGTGCATCGGCCTGCTATTGATGTCCCTGTGTATTTGCTAATTGCCCTGCCAATCATCATCATCATCACTTACGCTACGATTTTGGCACGGTACATTTCTCTTTTAAGAAAGCCCCGTGGCGCCCACATGCATGGGAGTTTTACGGAAAGAAATCGAGGAAGCGCGTAATCCGATGTGTTTTCCACAGCCATCTCCAAGATGTTGAGTTAAACATTATTCAAATTCACAATTGCCATGGCAACTGTGACCTACAATGCACGTGGTCAGTAATCCAGGGGCCGCGCACAATGTTGCGAAACTCGCTGCGTTCCCGTGGACGTTGAGGATGAGCCTGAACCCCGTGCATGGTTCGCTGGGGGAAGGCGGCACAGCAAAGTGCAGACGAATATCATCCTGCCGCGTCTGTATGGGTTACAAAACTTGAACATTTTTTTATTTGAGAAGGGAGGATACGGTGTTGGTTGTCCCTTCGCACGCATGGGTTTCATCCGGGTACTGTGGTTTGCTCCCACATGTATTGAAATAACAAAAAAAACCTCATTAATTGGCGGAATGCATCTTGATATGTATAGGACCGCAGAGCGTGGAAAATTGTTGGTAGCACCGGCTCAACGCCTGACTGCTGCTGCATTCCAGCTCGTCTGTGATTCCTCAGTGATTGTGAGAGGTGCAATGTGATAGTGAGAGATGAAATGCGATTCTAAGAGATGCAATGAGATTGTGAGAGATGCAATGCGATTGTGAGAGATGCAATGTGATTGTGAGAAACGCAATGTGATTATGAGAGATACAATGTGATTGTGAGAGATGAAATGTGATTGTAAGAGATGCAATGTGATTGTAAGAGATGCAATGTGATTGTAAGAGATGCAATGTGATTGTGAGAGATACAATGTGATTGTAAGATATACAATATGATTGTAAGAGATACAATGTGATTGTGAGAGATACAATGTGGTTGTAAGAGATGCAATGAGATTGTGAGAGATGCAATGTGATTGTGAGAGATGCAATGTGATTGTGAGAGATGCAATGTGATTATGAGATATACAATGTGATTGTGAGAGATACAATGTGATTGTGAGAGATACAATGTGATTGTAAGAGATGCAATGTGATTGTGAGAGATGCAATGTGATTGTAAAAGATACAATGTGATTGTGAGAGATACAATGTGATTGTGAGAGATACAATGTGATTGTAAGAGATAAAAGGTGATTGTAAGAGATGCAATGCGATTGTGAGAGATGCAATGAGATTGTGAGAGATGCAATGCGATTGTGAGAGATGCAATGTGATTGTGAGAGATACAATGTGATTGTGAGAGATGCAATGTGATTATGAGAGATACTATGTGATTGTAAGAGATGCAATGCGATTGTGAGAGATGCAATGTGATTGTGAGAGATGCAATGCGATTGTGAGAGATGCAATGTGATTGTGAGAGATGAAATGTGATTGTAAGAGACAAAAGGTGATTGTAAGAGATGCAATGCGATTGTGAGAGATGCAATGAGATTGTGAGAGATGCAATGTGATTGTAAGAGATACAATGTGATTGTGAGAGATGCAATGTAATTGTGAGAGATGAAATTTGATTGTAAGAGATAAAAGGTGATTGTAATAGATGCAATGAGATTGTGAGAGATGCAATGTGATTGTGAGAGATACAATGTGATTGTGAGAGATGCAATGTGATTATGAGAGATACAATGTGATTGTAAGAGATGCAATGCGATTGTGAGAGATGCAATGTGATTGTGAGAGATGCAATGTGATTGTGAGAGATGAAATGCGATTGTGAGAGATGCAATGTGATTGTGAGAGATGAAATGTGATTGTAAGAGACAAAAGGTGATTGTAAGAGATGCAATGCGATTGTGAGAGATGCAATGAGATTGTGAGAGATGCAATGTGATTGTAAGAGATACAATGAGATTGTAAGGGATGCAATGCGATTGTGAGAGATTGTAAGAGATACAATGTGATTGTAAGAGATGCAATGCGATTCTAAGAGATACAATGTAATTGTAAGAGATACAATGTGATTGTGAGAGATACAATGTGATTGTGAGAGATACAATGTGATTGTAAGAGATACAATGTGATTGTAAGAGATGCAATGTGATTGTGAGAGATGCAATGTGATTGTGAGAGATACAATGAGATTGTGAGAGATGCAATGCGATTGTGAGAGATGCAATGTAATTGTGAGAGATGAAATTTGATTGTAAGAGATAAAAGGTGATTGTAAGAGATACAATGCGATTGTGAGAGATGCAATGTGATTGTGAGAGATGAAATGCGATAGTGAGAGATGCAATGTGATTGTGAGAGATGAAATGTGATTGTAAGAGATAAAAGGTGATTGTAAGAGATTCAATGAGATTGTGAGAGATGCAATGCGATTGTGAGAGATGCAATGTAATTGTGAGAGATGAAATTTGATTGTAAGAGATAAAAGGTGATTGTAATAGATGCAATGAGATTGTGAGAGATGCAATGCGATTGTGAGAGATTCAATGTGATTGTGAGAGATACAATGTGATTGTGAGAGATGCAATGTGATTATGAGAGATACAATGTGATTGTAAGAGATGCAATGCGATTGTGAGAAATGCAATGTGATTGTGAGAGATGCAATGCGATTGTGAGAGATGCAATGTGATTGTGAGAGATGAAATGTGATTGTAAGAGACAAAAGGTGATTGTAAGAGATGCAATGCGATTGTGAGAGATGCAATGAGATTGTGAGAGATGCAATGTGATTGTCAGAGATACAATGAGATTGTAAGGGATGCAATGCGATTGTGAGAGATTGTAAGAGATACAATGTGATTGTAAGAGATGCAATGCGATTCTAAGAGATACAATGTAATTGTAAGCGATACAATGTGATTATGAGAGATACAATGTGATTGTGAGAGATACAATGTGATTGTGAGAAATGCAATGTGATTGTGAGAGATGCAATGCGATTGTGAGAGATGCAATGTGATTGTGAGAGATGAAATGTGATTGTAAGAGACAAAAGGTGATTGTAAGAGATGCAATGCGATTGTGAGAGATGCAATGAGATTGTGAGAGATGCAATGTGATTGTCAGAGATACAATGAGATTGTAAGGGATGCAATGCGATTGTGAGAGATTGTAAGAGATACAATGTGATTGTAAGAGATGCAATGCGATTCTAAGAGATACAATGTAATTGTAAGCGATACAATGTGATTATGAGAGATACAATGTGATTGTGAGAGATACAATGTGATTGTAAGAGATACAATGTGATTGTAAGAGATGCAATGTAATTGTGAGAGATACAATGAGATTGTGAGAGATGCAATGCGATTGTGAGAGATGCAATGTGATTGTGAGAGATGAAATTTGATTGTAAGAGATAAAAGGTGATTGTAAGAGATACAATGCGATTGTGAGAGATGCAATGTGATTGTGAGAGATTAAATGCGATAGTGAGAGATACAATGTGATTGTGAGAGATGAAATGTGATTGTAAGAGATAAAAGGTGATTGTAAGAGATTCAATGAGATTGTGAGAGATGCAATGCGATTGTGAGAGATGCAATGTAATTGTGAGAGATACAATGTGATTATGAGAGATACAATGTGATTGTAAGAGATGCAATGCGATTGTGAGATATGCAATGTGATTGTGAGGGATGCAATGTGATTGTAAGAGATACAATGAGATTGTGAGAGATAGAATGTGATTGTGAGAGATGCAATGTGATTGTGAGAGATGCAATGTGATTGTAAGAGATGCAATGATATTGTGAGAGATAGAATGCGATTGTGAGAGATGCAATGTGATTGTAAGAGATGCAATGAGATTGTGAGAGATAGAATGTGATTGTGAGAGATGCAATGTGATTGTGAGAGATGCAATGTGATTGTGAGAGATGCAATGTTGCACGAACGATGACAGCGCGACATACGGTATACAACTAAACTGTAAACATCGCATGCCAATCGGTGCATTCCCTGGTCAAATAGTAAACAAAAAAAGAGTTTCCCTTGAAATGCTCTCTCCAGTAGATGGCGATGTCTCCCTCTGCTTTCAGAAATTGGAAAATCAGAATTTGTCCACTCCCGAGCGGTTAGGAATGTGGCATGCGCTCAGATTTAATACATTCATATCGGACTTACGAGGCTGGGATATGCTTTTAAGCCTGATTCATAGTTTAAAGGAATGTTCTCTAAATGGTGCCAAACATTTTAAAAAGTGCACCTTCACGGGCTGGTGCTACACGACCCCTATGTGTGTGGGGTGAGCGGTAGTGCAGTGGCGAGTGGCCCGCTGCACTTCGAACCCGATTCCCGCTCACGACCACCATCAGCGACGATTAATGTAAACCGGTGCTGGGCCTCTCCTAGGTCGACTCAGCCTCAAACGAGTGCCTGGTGCCGTGTGTAAACATCGCCACCGTGGAGACAAAGGTGGGCGGGCGTTGCACTGGACACCAACCCCCAAATGTTCCGTGCCAGCCTTCATAGGCGCTCGCAAACAGAACGTGCCACGAGAGGCGAGACGATTAGAACGATACCCTCCCTCCTCTCCCGTGATGCATCTGTGAAAAATAGACTCACAGCTCATCGGATTTCTGCAGGATAAATACAGATTCTGATTCTGAAATATTCAGATTCCGATTCTGCCCAGTGCAATTGCAATATCACGTGAATTTAGGGGACAGTGGGGGCAGCTGAGGGACAATGAGGGACTTCCCACCTGGCCCAGATTGACTGGAGGCTTCGACAGAAAGCCTTGGTTGCGAGAGTGGAGAGTGTGTGGAGGGGGAGGAGAGTGAGACGAGAGAGGTAGGAGAGTGTGTGGAGGGGGAGTAGAGAGAGATGAGAGGGAGAGGTAGGAGAGTGTGTGGAGGGGGAGGAGAGTGAGACGAGAGGGAGAGGTAGGAGAGTGCGTGGAGGGGAGTAGAGAGAGGTGAGAGGGAGAGGTAGGAGAGTGTGTGGAGGGGGAGGAGAGTGAGACGAGAGGGGAGAGGTAGGAGAGTGTGTGTAGGGGAGTAGAGAGAGATGAGAGGGAGAGGTAGGAGAGTGTGTGGAGGGGGAGGAGAGTGAGACGAGAGGGGAGAGGTAGGAGAGTGTGTGTAGGGGAGTAGAGTGAGATGAGAGGGAGAGGTAGGAGAGTGTGTGGAGGGGGAGGAGAGTGAGACGAGAGGGGAGAGGTAGGAGAGTGCGTGGAGGGGAGTAGAGAGAGATGAGAGGGAGAGGTAGGAGAGTGTGTGGAGGGGGAGGAGAGTGAGACGAGAGGGGAGTCGTTGGCAGGAGTAGTCTATGAAATATCAAGATTCAGGTTTTTATTTAATTCACGATTCGTTTTGTGTATACATTGTAGTGAAAGTAGCTGCCCCTAGTGGCTGCAATATCCCCGTGAACCTGTTACATGTGTAGTGTACTAATTCAGAGACACTAGTAGGAGGCGTTATCCCTCTTGTTTATTCCGGATCTCACAGCCATAGGGGATAACTCCATACCGAGTCGGGACAGCCAACATGCTGCCACACCCACAGCTTGAAGAGGCGAAGACCACGACGACAGCAGCACGACGAGTTCCATTCCCGATGGCAGCAGCACCGACTACGAGTCGGAGCTCGCCTTTTATTCTCCCCAGCGTGGCTAGGCTCCGCCCTCGGCCACGCCCCCTTCTGGATCCCCCAGAAGGCTCCAGGCTTGGCCCACGAGTCCAACTGGTAGAGCGGGCCGCTACCCCTCCCTAATTCCATTGTCTACCAATTCTCCCAGCGCCACGCGTTACAGTGACTCCTTCAACGTCTCCACACATACAACACACGTGTGTGGTGGGGTTTCTCCCAGGGAAATATGCCACGTCGGGCGATAGAACCGGCAACCACTCGATTGCCAGTATTTGCATTATTCACGGTTACGTCATGGCAGCATCTCCGCGGTCACGCAATTGGCATTATGATAATGAATTATTCATTCATTATTATTATTATTGAACGCGTATGCTGCACAGGGTCCGCTGTGTTCTTGTAATTCCCAGCGAAAAAAAAGCAAAAACAAAAACCCACACGGGGCGTACCGGGCAGCCGTAGGCAATGAACTCTCGACCTCTGCGTGCAAAGTGGCTCAGTCACGGCTAATGAGAGAGCTAAGCCGACTTCAAATTCACTCGAAAAAAATACTGTATATTAAGTCCACCATCATCATCTCCATCATCATCAACACCACCAACAACACCACCGTCGTTATCGTCATGATCGCCATCACCAATAACAGCAGCAGCGTGGCGATCACGGCTCCGGAGGTGATCGTGCGCCGAATTCGCGACGTCTCACCACAGACGGCCGAGACACACAACTCGCCGCGAGGTCCCTTCTGGCGTGTATTCTTCCTCCTGCTCGGAGCCCGTTGAACGTCGGGACGCGGCGTCGATGGGGTGGCGCGTTGATTGACGGTGCCACCCCACGTGTGAACGCCTCATCGGGGCGTTTGCCGGGTGGCGGCACCGTGCCAACGCTCGTTGCCTCTCTCACAGCAAAGAGGCCCTCCTGGGTTCGACTACAGACTCGGGCGCCTTTCAGCGTGGAGTTTGTATGTACCCCCCCCACCCCCACCACGCTCTCTCCCCCACCCCGCTCACGGCCAAAACCAGTGACAATTATCTGAACTGATCCTGGGCCTCCCCTAGGTCGTCTAAGCCTCAAATTAGTACCTGGTGCGGTATGTAAATATTACCACTCGGGAGACAAAGGCGGCTGGGCGTGGTTGCTGGCCACCCACCCCATCGTGTGCCGTGCCGGCCTTCATAGGTGCTCGCTAAAATCGCTTTCCCCAAAAGTCTATTCAGGCTATACGGGGGATCTTTATTTTTTGTTTCACAGTTGTGTATGTTCTCACCTTGTTCTGCAGAGTGTCAGTGAGTGAGTGGCGTTGAAATATGTTCGCCCTGTTCTGCAGAGTGTGTGCAAGTTTGTGGAATTCGTATGTGCTTCCTCTGTTGTGTAGTGTCAACGAATGTATGGCGTTTGTACAGTATGTTCTCCCCCTGTTCTACAGAGAGTGAGTGAGTGAAGTTTTTAAGTTTTAACCCTGTTCTATAGAGAGTGAGTGGGTGGAGTTTGTATGTTCTCTCCTTATTCTGTATGAGTTTCCAATGGATTTTTCCAGTTTCCTCCCATCGCAAAATAAAAAAAAACACCAACACAATGTAACTGGAATTGGCTATACATCCCAAAATGATGCAAAATTTATTGGCAAATTACTGAATTGGGATTCGACATCGCCTCCCCCCCCCTTATCTCTCTGAAAACTTGGCAGGACCCTCCTGATAAAAAAAAGTTTGCCAGTTCACCGGCAATTGGATTGAGCAAGCCTGACCGGCTGATGAGACACTGAATGTCAAATCCCCTCTTCAGGGTTTCCTTACGTTATTAATAATCATTACGATTAAACAAATGCAGCTGAAGATTAATCACGACCCAGAAGGACCGTGCGTGCGGTTCGCTGGGATGTGCGCACCAATAATAATAATGTTTTAACTTTTTGACGAGGAGAGACAAACACGGCTGCGAGGGGGTAATGTCTTGTTTATTTATTCCACGGGTCAGAAAACCACGGGGCACTGGCGAGGTAGCAACGGAAGCAGGAGGTGAAAAGTGCCCGAAGAAGGGTGGACAGAGGGCGTGCATAAAAAAAAACAATCGCACAGCGAGCATACAACTGAGAAACTTCGCTTACGCCGTACGAACAATAAATGCATCGTAATAAAACACAGTGTTGAGTTACTACTGTTTTGAAATGGGAATATATATCTAAGCCAGTGTGCCTAATATCTCCCTGGAGAATGCTGACAGTGCCTAAGCTAAGAATGTACTTTCTTTTTAAAGAGGATTAGGGAATAACGCGGGGGAACAGAAGTCCCTCCCCTCCTCCTCCCCGCACTCCCTCCCCAACTAAATAACAAAAAAAACAATATCGTCAAACGCAGTAGTTCTCTCGATTCAAACCTCCGCGTGCGTCCTCTTTTCTTCTTTTTTTTTATACATTCCTACCAAGCCGTGACGTTTAGTTGGCATGAAATAAAAAAAGGGAGGAGGGGGGCAAAAAGAGGTGGGGGTTGGGGGGGGCAGAGAGTAGCGAGAGGCGCGAGGGGGAGGGGCTAAAGTTTACAACCAGTAGCACGAGTGAACAACCAACAGGGCAAGAGATGAGATGACATGAGTTTTGCTACAATCGTTATTGATGCCTGCGAGTGAACGATATGAACAAAAACGTGAAATGCATGCCCCCCCCCCCGCCCCCCCGTCTCTCTCCCTCCCGCTCGGCGAATGTCAAAAGTGTAGAGAAAAATCGCACAGGCAGAGAAGGCTTGCAGACTCGATGTGAGTTTGTGGTGGAGCAGGGAGCGAGTGGTTTCGTCATTGTTGCTGCTGCTGCTTGTGCTGTGTGGTCCATTGCTAGTTCTAGTGCAGTGTTCTTCTTCTTCGCAAGGCGGCCCCTGGGTGGCCTTTAATGCGGCCCCCAAAAGTAACGGAATGTGAAAAGAGCCCCTGCAGGCGGTGTGGCGACCCTCACGCTGATGACGTCTTATCGGCGAAAGTACCCCCCCCCACCCCCTGAGTGCAGGAGACTTATTCTGGGTAGTATAGATGTAGGTTAGCTTGTAATAAACTCAGATTTATGGTTTCAAAAATACGCTCACATGTGACTCAGGTAAGGCCTCCTTCCCGTGCCCGTGTTGGTAATGGGTGTTTGACCACCGTGGCTATACAGTGCCGGATTATCCCAGGAGCAAAAGTAGCTACATATGTAGTAGCTACGTGTGTAGTAGCTACATATGTAGTAGCTACGGGCGCCGCACTTTCAAGGGCCACGCGCTGATTGCTTTCAAGCTATCAATTCCGGTTCAGTGATTCTGCACTTGCTCTATTACTATAGTACTATACTGCCTTCAACTTTTATGAACGACTGGGTGTTTTAAGGTCAGCGATTTGTCGTATGATATGGCTGTATAGCAAATGAAAAAAATACAATTACTTTACTTTGCAATTAATACAATTGTAATAATAGGGGTTTTCCCCTTTTATCTGGCAACAAAACTGAAACCTTTTTGCAAGGAATCGTGTCTGCATTAACCACAATACTTGTGGTCAAAATGCAAACAAAAAACACACTCTGATAATATATGCATTGTCCTTGAAACTGATTGGTCCACACCAAGGGACGGCTTTCTTTTGAGCCTCGTTTAAATTGGTGCTAGACCAGAGGACGCCAAAAGGCGTACAGCTCAAAGAAAATGCTAGTACCAAAATATAATAATAGTGTTTTATTTATTTATTTAGGACCCCTTCATAACACATGCTACAGGACCCGCACTAGCTTAATCCACTGAAAATGTAAATGTTGTGGATTTACTCTTCAACACACCGGTGGGCTGAAGTAGTAAACTATTTGGCGTATTGTGTACGTGACAAATCCCTTACTAATTGGCTGTGTCGGGTGGTGGAGGGTTACGACACAACATTTATACTTACGCGATCGAACCCAAAAACCTTTATTATGACTTTATTCATCTGACCTCTTTCCCACGTTAAACAAATTATTTGGTGATGCTGCATTGGCAGTGGTGCACAAGCACAGGAAAATAAACTTCACAACTCAACATATTCGCAAAAAACACTGTGGCCTTAAAAAGAAAAATCTTACAGGCGACGTTTCAGGAAATAACCATTTTCATAGCACGTGGCAATTATGGTTAACTTTTAGTCTAACCCTTATGCTATGAAGAAGGGCCATTGCCCGGAACGTCCGCTATTATATATTTTTTCCCTTTTCAGGCCGCAGTGTTTTTGACGAACTTGTGGATTTTTTTTTATTCTAGAAGAGTTTCAATTGCATCGTTTCGTAGAGCGGGGGCAGGCTGCTTATGTGTCAAATTAATATATTTTCGTTACTTGTTAGTCAAACCAAAATGTTTAATTCTCATAGCTGGAATAAACTGCAACAAAAAGGAATAACGTGTAATACGGCGGGGTTTTTTTGTTGGTGTGAAGTCATTGGTAATCTGAGCTTCGACCATCAATTTCGGCAGATATTGAAACTTCCCAAGATAGGGGCGTGGGGGCGCGGGTTGAGGGGGAGGTGCTGTGGTGGAGGGGGGCGGACAACTCTGAAATTTCAGGTTTAAAAACATGGCCCTGCATTTCTAAATTAAACAATGCCATATATTGATAAGAATTGGGCCCTACATTAATAAAACAAACAATTCACTGTATTATCTCTGGTTAATATCAATCCGATACCAATTTTTAGGATCTCAAGGGGGGTGGTAGTGATGGGGGGATTACTCCAATTGCCCCCACGCAACTGACATTCGAGAAGCCGTATACTGAAACTAAACAAAAACATATATTTTACCAGGTAAGGCCCACTGAGCTATATAGCTCTTTTTCAGAAGCAGCCTGGCCACAAACGATAGCTCAACGAAGTGGCTGATCACGTGGAAATGTATAGCAGCCAAATACTCAAAATGGATGCTTCTAAATGTGGAGGGAAAATCTGGAA